CACATGGGTGGCCCACCACAGCCACCACAATAACCATGGCTGCTGCAAAAGCAGCCAGACACCACAGCCACCATGCAGATGGTCCACCAACCACTGGAGTACATTCACACAAGAAAAGTCACCAGGAGAGACAAAGAAAAGAAGAGGATGTCTCTTTCCACAAAACCCATTTCAGAGTGAGAGAAGAAGCATCTGCTCTATGATAGTATTGGGGGACCTGATCACATCTCTCAGCATTGGACAGATCATCTAGGCAACAGGTTAACAGAGTAACCATTATTCTTTCAGAAGGACAGAAGAAATCTAGGGCAATTAGAGGGGGGAGGGGGGAGGGAATGGAGGAAGGGGAGAGGTTGGACAAGGGGCATAAAGAATAATTACAATTTGTAACAATACATATGCTAGTAACATTGATTTAATCAGCATATTAAAATATGTATAATCCATTTTGATTCAATAACTAAAATAAATAAAAAATAATAATTAAAAAAAATAAAAAATAAAAATAAACATGTTCCTGTATGGCCAACGGGTCAAACCAAAAAATAAGCAGGAAATCAAAAAAATTCCTTGAAACAAATGAAAATAAAAGCACAACTTACCAAAACCCATGGGATACTGCAAAAGTAGTACTAAGAGGAAAGTTTATTACAGTAAATGCTTTACATCAAAAGAATAGCAAGACTTCAAGTAAAAATCTAACATTAGACCTCAAAGAACTAGAAAAACAAGACCAATTCAATCCTAAAATTAGTCAACAGGAGGAAATAATTAAGTTCAGAACAGTAATAAATGAAATAGAGGCAATAAAATATATAGATCAAAAAGATCAATAAAACAAAAAGTTGGTTTTTTGAGAAGATAAGCAAAATAGAAAAATCATTAGTTAGACTAACTAAAAAAAGAAGAGAGAAAATCCAAATAACAAAAATCAGAAATGAAAAAAGAGACATCACAACTGATACCACAGAAATACAAGGGATCATTAGAGACTATTATAAACAACTATATACCAACATATTTGAAAACCTGGAGGAAACAAATTTCTGGACACAAACTACAAAGACTGAATCAAGAAGAAATAGAAAACCGAAACAGACCAATAATAAGCAATGAGATTGAAGCAGTAATCAGCAGCCTCCCAACAAAGAAAATCCCAGGACTGGATGGCTTTACTATTGAATTCTACCAAACCTTTGAAGAAGAATTAACACCAATCCTCTTCAGAGTATTACAAAAAATCAAAACAGAGATCATTTGCCCAAACTCATTCTATGAGGCCAGCATCACACTGATACTAAAACCAGACAAAGATACAACAAAACAGAAAACTACAAGCCAATATCCTTGATGATCATAGACACAAAAATCTTCAACAAAATATTAGCAAACAGAAAACAACAGCACATCAAAAAGATTATACACCATGATCACATGAAATTCATTCCAGGGATTCAAGGATGGTTCCACATATGCGAATCAATAAATATGATATACTACATCAACAAAATCAAGGACAAAAACCATATGATTATCTCAATAGACACAGAAAAAGCATTTGACAATATTCAACACCCCTTTATGATAAAGACTCTCAACAAAAAAGTATCTCAACACAATAAAAGCCATGTATGACAAACCCAGCACCAATATCATCCTGAGTGGGGAGAAGCTGAAAGATTTTCCTCTAAGAACAGGACCAAGACAAGGATGCCCACTCTCTCCACTTCTATTTAACATAGTATTGGAAGTACTAGCCAGAGCAATTAGGCAAGAGAAAGAAAGAGAATCCAAATTGGCAAAGATAAAGTCAAATTCTTCCTGTTTGGAGATGACATGACCTTATATGTAGAAAAATCCAACAACTCTACCAAAAAACTCCTAGAGCTGATAAACGCATTCGGTAAAGTTGCAGGATACAAAATCAATACATAAAAGTCAGTAGCTTTTTTTTACACCAACAACAAACTAGAAGAAAAAGAAATCAAGGAACAAGCCAATTTACAATAGCTGCCAAAAGAATAAAATACCTAGGAATAAATTTAACCAAGGACGTGAAGGATATCTATAATGAGAACTATAAAACACTGCTGAAAGAAATTAAAGAGGACACCAAAAGATGGAAAGACACTCCATGTTCATGGACTGGAAGAATTATGACCACTCTACCCAAACCAATCTACAGATTCAATGCAATCTCCATCAAAATACCAAAGACATTCTTCACAGAAATAGAAAAAAACAATTCTATTATTCGTGTGAAACAACAAAAGACCCCAAATAGCCAAAGTGATCTTGAGCAAAAAAATAAAGCCAGAGGCATTATACCACCTGACCTCAAATTATACTCCAAAGCTAAGGTAACCAAACCAGCACTGTAGTGGCATAAAAACAGACACACGGGCCAACAGAACAGAATAGAGAACCCAGAAATCAACTCACAGACTTACAACCAATTGATCTTCAACAAAGGCACCAAAAACATACATTGAGGAAAGGACAGCCTCTTCAGCAAATGGTGGTGGGAAAACTGGATAGCCATGTGTGAAAGAATGAAACTAGACCTGTACATCTCATCATATACCAAAACGAACTCAAAATGGATTAAAGACTTAAATATAAGACCTGAAACTATAAAACTCATAGAAGAAAACATATGGGAAGCTCTTCAGGATGTAGGACTCGGCAAAGACATTATGAATAAGACCTCGAAAACACAAGCAAGAAAAGAAAAAATAAACAAATGGGATCATATCAAACTAAAAAGCTTCTGCATAGGAAGGGAAACAATCAACAGAGTGAAAAGACAACCTTCAGAATAGGAGAAAATATTTGCCAACTATACATTCAACAAGGGATAAATATGCAGAATACACAGGGAATTCAAACAACTTAATAGTAAAAAAATAAATAATCCAATTAAATAAAGGGCAAAGGAGCTGAACAGACATTTCTCAAAAGAAGACATACAAATGGTGAACAAGTATATGAAAAAATACTCAACATCCCTAATCATCAGGGACACGCAAATCAAAACCACACTGAGATATCGTCTCAGCCCCCTTAGACCGGCTATTGTCAAGAAGACAGAGAATAACAAATGCTGGCGAGGATATGGAGAGAGGCGAACACTCCTACACTGTTGGTGGGACTGTAAATTAGTACAGCCATTATGGAAAACAGTATGGAGGTTTCTGAAACAACTACAGATAAAATTACCATATGATCCAGCAATCCCACTACCAGGTATACACACGAAGGAATGGAAATCATCATGTGGAAGGGATACCTGTAATCCCATGTTTATCACAGTTATATTTACAATAGCCAAGATATTGAACCAACTTAAATGTCCATCGGTGGATGACTGGATAAGGAAAATGTGGTGTACACGATGGAATACTACTCAACCATAAAAAAGAATGAAATTCTGCCATTCACAGCAGCATGTTGAGCTTGGTGAAAATTATATTAAGCAAAATAAGCCAGGCACATGTCATCACTCATAAGTGGGAGCTAATAAATAAATAAATAAATAAAAGAAAACAATCACAATAATATGTTGCGGAAGGCGAGATCAGAACTGTGGTTATTAGAGGTGGGAAAGGGGGAGAAAAAGGGGGATTAGCAAGAAATTGGTTAATGGACACAGATTTATTGCATTTTGTGATGATGAACATGTGAATTATCCTGATTTAATCACCACACATTGGACACAGGTATTGATATTCAACTATGTACCCCCAAAATATGTATAATTAATTATGCTTTAATTTTAAAAATGCAAAAAAAAAGTTTAATCCGCAATGCAACAGCGCTCATATTAAGAGGTGAGGCCTGTAGGAGGCGTGATCTTGAGATCTTCACTCTCGCCCCGTCCCCCATATATGGTCGCAGTGAGAAGGTGACATCTGGGAAGCAGAGAGCGAGCCCTTACTAGAGACCAAATCTGTGGTGCCTTGATCTTGGACTTCCCAGTCTCCCAAATCATGAGAAATAAAGTTTTATTACCAATCTAAGGTATTTTGATATAGAAGCAGGAATAGACTAAGACAAACCTGTACAACACGCTATTAAAAAATATGCAAAACCATGCTATATATTTTTATAGATACTTACAAATATGGTCAAAGTATAAGGGAATGTGTGGGAATTATAAGGGGCACATTCAGTGGTTACCTCTGGTGGGGGCAGGGCAGGGAGAGTGACCTGATTAGAGAGGGTTATGCAGGGAAGTGCGACTGTACGGGATGCTTTGTTTCTTTGGCAGAACAGTGTGTGATGGGTGATCGCAATGTCAGTCATTGTGTTACTGAATCTCTGAAACACTTCATAATAAAAGAGGAGACTATTCATTGAGTGAATGCATTTATTATGTGCTGTGTGCCCAGGACCGTGCCAAGTGCCTTGAGGGTGAAAGGGGGAATACCCCTCTTTTGTTCCTACTGTGTCTTGAGGTCTGATTCCCTCCCATCCTTGAACCCTGCTCCCCTGGCCCACCCCCACCTGCAGAAGGAGTGGGAAGCACCTGGCACTCTTCCCCAGCTCCTTGTCTGGAAGGAATGTCTCATCCAGTTAGACCTAAGGAGAAACTTTCCCACTGGTGCCAACAAGCTCCAGGGAGAGAAGAATCTCTAATCCCTGAGATCTTTTCTAAACTCATACTGAATTCTTGATTACTTAAGTTACACACGCTTCCTGGAGAGGGTTTCGCATAATCCTACCATCCACTATTCAGGTGTTTGTTGGGGGGAGATGCACGTGTGGTGGTGTTTTGTTTGTTTCTTTTCTGCAGCATGTGTGCACACATTTACACACTGGAGATGAGATGCAGTGCAGTGTTGTGTCCTGTGATTGCAACCTCCTGTTCCATGGCAAGGGCTCTCTGGACAGTTTTTGGGAGAAGAACCTGCTGCGTTGTTGGTTGGTTTGGGGTCCCCCTCCTCTATCTGGGGGAGTTAGGAAGAAGCAGCCCCCTCCCGGGCTTCGGACCCCCTTACCTGAAGCCGAGGAGAATGGCTGAGGCGATGACCAGAGTGGAGAAGGAGAGTGCGTAGCCCACCGTGTAGACGACGTAAAGGGACAGGAGCTGCTCCCCCGGGGAGCTCTGCGTGCACACAGGGACATGCATGTACATGGGGCAGCCCATGGCCCTCTCTCTCCCACATTCTTCTTTCCCAGGGGACAAGGGCAGAGGTGGAGCCCTAAGTCAGACCCCAGTGGGGATACCAGAGCCAAGAAAGAGAATAACCTAAGGTGACAGTCCTTGGATCTCTCGGACGCTGTTCCAAGCCCAAGGAGGTGAACACACACCACATTTGACTAGCACGCATGGTGTGCAAAGACCCCTGAGGCAGGTGGATGGGTGAGATGACCACAGGGGGGCCCACCAGAAGTCCAGGGTCTCTGCTCTGATGAAGCTGAGATCCTGCTACTCCCTCCCTGGCTCAGAACCCCTCCTCAACTCACTCTCTCCTCTCGCTTGGACTCCTCGCACTCCGACAGGTCCCTCCAGGGCAGGCTGGAGTTGTCCTTGTGCAGCCAGAGGCCTTCAGTGGTGCAGAAGCGGTACACGTGGCCCTGCAGCACTGGGGCGGGGAGACCTGGCAGCTGAGCCTTGGCCCAGAGTGAGAAGCCTGCCCAGCACTAGATGCCCCTGAGTCCTCCCCACCCTGAAAGTCATCCCTGCTCCCCCAGAACTGACCCCTCTGAGTTAGTCACGTCCTCTTCCCATGTTCACCAAACACACCCCCCTCCACACACACACACGCCTGGGGCTTCCTCAACTGCCATATGGCTTGATGGCCCAGGGATAGGACAGAGTGTGAATGAAGGAGAGAGTGAAGCCGCCAGGGGTGCGGATGACGGCGGCGGGAAGAACCGGGGCTCTGGGGAGGGGGCCCCATTAACATGCAGGGTGCTGGCAGCCCCACCTCCTGCTCAGGGGCCCAGGAAGGGTGCAGCCATCTAGTAAGGGGCTCTATTTTCAGGCCCACCCACAGATGGGTCCTGTCACAGCCTCTTCCAGCACTGTCAGACATCAGCAGGCCTGTCCTTCCCTAACTGACCCCAGTCAACAGTGCAGACTCCCTGCTCTCTCTCCTCCTTCCCAGCTCCTTTCACAGACAAAGCCTCAAATAGGTCCCCCCTCAGGAGACCGCAGTTATCTGGTAGTACAGTGGGATGAATCAGCTTGCAGGATTACTCCTTCTGGAAGATTCTGCATTTTAAAAGATACTTCACCGGGAAGAGGAAACAAAAACCTAACAGCGGAACTTCTGACAGTGGGAATCACAATGTCCCAATACCTCTCTACTGCGTCTACAAACAAAAGCAGGCATATGCACAAAGGCAGAGGAGTTGGAGACACTTGATCTGATTTTAGCAACCTGAAGGGCTCCTCGCAAGCCCCTGAATGCCTCTCTTATCTGCTGCATGGATGCCTGAAATTCTTCACCAGGAGCCAAGTGTCCTGATATGAGGCAAAAACCAGTGTTCGGCTATAGATACCTCCAAGAGTTGTGATGGGGCCCTGGGCTGACTCTATGGGGAATGAAACTGGTGTCAGACCCTGCTCTGGCTGTCCATTTTGATAGGAGGAAGGAGGGAGAAAGGAGAGAGGCCAAGGGGCCAGGGAAAGGAGAGACACAGTGACAGCCTGGGATGCACGAACCTTCTAACCACCCATTTACCCGGGACAGCCCACAGCAGTGCAATGCTAATAATACCCCTGTTCCACAGCTGGCACAGTGTCTGGCATACAGTAGGCACTCTGCAACTTCAGGTGCTTTCCCTACCTGCTCCTTATACACTCTCTCTGCAAGTTGTGCTTTACAGAATCAGTTTTTGAACACCTACGGTATACCTGATACCTTTGAACATCAGAAGAACCTTACAAGGTAGGCATGGTGAACCCCATTTTACAGATGAAGAAACTGAGCCTCTTAGAAGCCAGATGACTTGCCCAAGATCATCCAGTGAGGATGCAGCAGAGTCAGGGTACAAATCCCCTGCTCTTTGCCTCCAGAGGTCAAAAGTCAGCAAACAGGCTGCTAGCAGTCAACAATGGCCATGTGCCATTTCTCGTCTGCCCTTCCTCTGGGCTTGGATTTCCCAACACCCAGACCCCTCCCAGCAGGGCCCCTTGCCAATGCAGACCCCAGGCAGCCTTCACTGTTCCCTGAGCCTCTGTTCAGGTCCGACTGGGGGGAGGTGGTGTGTGCACAGATATGTGCATTACTGGCACAGAGTCAAGGGATCACTGTGTCCCTGAGCAGCTCACAAGCCCTGCAAGTGTGCCTGTCAATTATCCTTCATTAGCATCAAATATGAAAAGCCAGGGCTAGTTTTGGTTGGACCCGTGGTCCCCAGATGCCCATCTTGTCAGGAGGCAGGGTGGGTAGGGGCACAGCCCTGCTTATCAGCTCAGCTTTATCTGGCCTGGGAGGAGCTGGTAAATAACAGCCAGGGGCTTGGCTGGGGTCTTGTCAACACAGGGAGGCAGCCGGGCGGCAGCATGACAAGAGGCCCAGAGATGTTTCATTAAGTCAGACCCTGGCGCTGGAAATAAAACCCCCAATTAAACACTTCCCTCCCGGAAACTGCCACAGCGTCTGTAATCAAACTAACAGCCGCCCTTCCACATGGATGGGGGCACTCAGGGCTGTGAGAGCTGTTCATGAATCCATTAGCTCCTGCTCCCTGGCAGCAAAGGCGGCTGGCAAGGATGACTGGGCCCCCATTTTACAGATGCGGAAGCTGAGATTCAGAGAGGCTAGTCACAGGCCCTCCCCAAAGTGGTGGGATGAGGGTCAAAGGCAGGGCTCAAATGAAGGCATGAGCTGAGGGTGGAGGTGAAGGCTACTGGAGAGCATCAGGGCCCAGGAGAGGGAGCTTAGGTGTGAACCACGCAGACTCAAGTTCAAATCTTGGCTCTGCCCTCAACATATTTACATAGATGAATACGTATTTATATAGATGTAAGTACACGCGTTCACGTAGAGGAACGCGTGTCTCAGTTTCCTTGTCTGTATAATGGGAACGATCACGACTTCCCAGGAGATAGAGCACGTGACATGCCTGGAACCTAGTAGGCCTTCACACATGGTCACAGTGGAGGCCCTGCTGCCTTCCCCACCCTGATTTCTCAAAGGGGCACTCCCTCGCTGGAGCTGGTGATGGAACTTCTGACACCACTTCAGCCAGAACTCTGGGGCCAAGCTCAGGCCTCAATCTCTTCTTGGCAACCCCGACCTGCAGTAAAAGCTCCTGGGCTCAACATTACTCAGGGAGGCACCTGTTAGACTTTCCAAGAACTGTGAGTTGTAGGCTATTTTAAAAGCATTTTATGACTCTCATATAATTAGAACTAAGCTAACAAACAGGTAGGGATCAGGAGGGGGTGCAGCTAATGAGGCTGGAATGATCTGTAACGAGCACAGCTGTGGCTGGGTAAGCCAGGCTGCTGAAGGGCCCTGGGGTGCCCGCAGGCTCTCTCAGCCACTTCGGTCTTCACCTCACAGTCTTGCTGGCACCAGGCATTTCCTTTGCACCTCTTCCTTCCCTGACTCGTCTGCTCCCGCCCCCTCTCTGTGCAATCGAGCCCCAAATTCTCAGTTAGAGGGGTCAGAATTCAAGGGCCTGGCTGCCTTCCCTGAGACACTGTGGGGTCTGCCCCACGTCCAAGGTGCTGCCTGGATGTCCTTCCTCCCTGTGGGGCCCTGTTTCCCCCTTGTGCATCTGTCTGTTCTCCCAGGCCTGACCCCAATGTCACCTGCCCCTGGAAGCCTTCCCGATGCCACATGCCAGGCAGAAGATGGCTCTGACCCTCCTTAACACCACTGCCTGAGCCATTGAGCCAACCCCTTCAGCCCCATGGTGGGGGGCCACCCCTTCTCCCCAACACACAACCCCCCTACGGTCTCAGCGACATCCCTAGCTGCCGACACAGACCTAGCTCAGGGGTCTGGAAATTGTCTTGAATTTAATTCTTTCTCTAGCCACTCGCTCCTCTGCCCAGCTCTGCACCCAGGACAGCATTGCTTGGCTGACCCCAGGACAGCATTGCTCGGCTCCCCGTCCTCTGCTGGCTTTGGCCGGGGGTGGGGGGTGGAGGAGCACAGGAGGGGTGAGGGGAGAGAGGCTGGGGTGCTCCTCCCGCTCGCTCCCTGCCTTGATTCTGAGGTGGTGGTAGTGGCTTTGCCCCTCTGAGGCCACAGCCCTGCTGGGGGGCCTCTCCATCATGGCTCCAGCTGTCATGGGGACCCCTAGTCCCATTCCCACCCTTGCTTCTCAGGTCTGGGGGTGATAAAGCTTCCCACTGCTGTAGTCCTTAGTGCTCATATACCTTATTGGTCACTTAACTCGGCCCAGCCTCTGTCAAGGACCTTTCCATTAAATTCTGTTCACGTTCCCAACTGAGGGTGTTTGCTATGGGACCCTGCCTAAGATGATCCCTTTCCTTCTCCCTGTCCCCAGTGCATACTGTGAAGTTTCTCCCCAGACTATTCCCCTGACCAGTCCAAGAAAGCCCAAGAACTGCCCCCTTCCTGCTCCCGCATGCCCTGGGTGGGGTCAAGGAAGCCCCCAGTGCCAGCCTCTGCCAATGGGAGCTCCAGGACAGGCTAGAGCTGCGGGTCCCTCACTCAGGGAGAGGGGAGAGGGAGGCAGAGCGGGTGATTCTGAGTGTCAAAAGGGCGTAAATGAGCCTGGTGAGAGGCAGGGGTGGCAGCGGGGGAGCTGGCAGGGGGCCTGTGCAGTAGCCGTTATCTTCATGGAGAAAGCAATAAAACCGTGTTCGCTCATAAACGGGCACCACCAAGACCTATTTCCTGCTCAAATAAAATCAAATAAAATTAAAGGTGATGGATGGAGCCACAAGCAGCAGGCAGAGCTGGGGGCAGCTTAGTGCTGAGTGATGAGCCCTGTCCTGCGCCCGGCTCCCTGGGGTCTAGAGGCCCAGCCGAGCCTGGCCAGGCAGCCGGTCCCAAACCTTTAGGAGGCAGGAAATGTGTGTGTGTTGTGAGAGGCCAGGAAGCTATGTCGGGTGGGCAGAAAAAATTAACAGCTACCCTTTATCATGGGCCTACAGTCCTCCCCACACCTGTGTCACCTGGCTCTATCCATCTCCCAGATGAGCAAAACAAAGCACAGAGAGGTCTGGGACCCAGCTCCTGCTCACACAGCCAGTCAAGCCATCTGCAAGCAGAACCACTAGACTTCAGGGCTCACAGGGAGAGCGCAGCCAGCTCACTGCCCTCCTCGAGGGTGTGCCCAGACACCAGAGGTCATCCAGGCCACTTACCTGTCTCCATGCCAGAGTATATTTATATTCTCCATGGGCGCACACATGCCCAACAAAGCCCCGTATTGCAATTAAACGCACTGACTCTAAACCAGACTCCTGGGCTGATTCCTGGGTCTGCCACTCACTAGCTGTATAAGCTTGGAAAAGCCTCTTGGCATCCCTGTGCCTCAGCTTCCTCATCTGTAAAATGGCTAGGTGATCAGAGTAAGGGTTGCTGTGAGGATTAAATGAGTGTGCATACATAGAGTGCTGACAGCAGGTATGGCACAGAAGTGCTGTGTGAAGGGCCACTGGTCACTCTGTGTCCTACCCAGGTGCCTGCCTTTTTCCAGGCCCAGGCTCTCTCTGTGCACCTCAGGGAGGGGTGGGCGCACTGCGAGGGAGGAAAAGGAAGCAGCCTCCATAGGAGACCAGCCTGGGCTGCATCTGACATCAGTCCCTTTCCCCACACATCACCTCGTTCTCACACTTGCTGCTAGGCCACTTTCTGTGAGGGCTCAGGCCCCTTCAAGGCACAGTGGTAAGAGCACAGACTGGGTTCACATCCTGGCTCTGCCATTAACCACAGCACTTGGAACAAGTGATATAAGCCTTCCAGGGCCTCAGTTTCCTCATCTGCCCAAGAAGCATAAGCATGGGGTAGTTGTAAAGATGAAATAAATGCCCTAGGACAGGACCTGGCACATAGTAGGTACTCAATAAATAGTAGCTATTTTTATCATAAGAAGTCCATG